TATGAAACAAAAATATATACTTTTATAATCCATCTTAATAAAAATATTGGTATGTTTCCAATGAATGTGATATGCAACTTTATTCCACATATGCCCTTACTTCAAAATTTTTTGGGATGTTTGAATGTTAGAATCTGTTTCCAGGGAAAAAATTCATGTCAATTGACGCGAAGTTGAAAAATTTCAAGAAATATGAAATATACGCATATTCATTAAATTATTAATTCACTGTATATACAAAGAACATGTATCACTTATTTTATATATATACACATATATAATAAAATCAGTATATTTGTTTTGTGTGTGTATAATTTGATAATTTTTTTCGTGTAAATTAAGGAAATAGCAACATGATATTGCTTATTATTTTAGTTATTTGTAATTATTGTAATCGTAAAAATTACACATCAATACAAAATATATATTAGAATAAATTATTAATAATAACACGGTGCTACAACATTAAAATAGTACTTTCATAACACTAAAGTTACATAGCCCATAATGTAGACAGAATTCAGAATAAAAATAAGTCATCATTAGTTATTTTTTAATGCTTGACAATATGGCTAAATTGTAAAAAATAATCGTCCCTATTCAGTATGTCGTCATCGACACAAAACGACGTCGTAGAGGGTCGTCTTTTGCAAATTGGTATTCCCGAAGTTGTTGTCGACATTTATCGATAACTATTGAAACATTTTTGGTATTCCATAACAAAGCTTGACGACGACGATGACGAAGATTTCTTCGTCATTATTTTAGTTGACGACTGAAGAGTGTTAACAATTTTTTTTAAGAAATTAAAAAAACATGATGGATACGTTCTAGTCTCTATTCCATACGTTATTCAAAATATCGTATTAATTAAAAAAGCAAAATATATGGGATCTAAATATAAATCTGAAATCTTTGTGCCAGCTTCAGCCCATTCGGATCATAAAGGTGATCTGTAACTTGTTTAAAATAGTGTATGGCCGGAGGGACATACATAAATCGACTCAAAAAGTAATTCTATGTATATACTAAAAGGGAACAACAAAAGTTTAGGGGCTCATGTCGGATAAATGGTAGGTCACGTCTTCTTGATCACGAAAATATATGATTTTCATGGGAGAAGTCCATACTTCCCGAAATATGGACTTCTGAAATTCCGAAATGTCTATTATCGTAACTTCGTCATTTACGGAACGATAAAGGTAATATGGTTGTAAAGCGAACACATTATATTTTCACATAAATTAATTTTAATTAAAAATTATTAAAAATAGACGGCCTTCAGCCAGGGACTTAGTACTTTCTCCTATGGACAGCCGGAAATTTCGACTAATGCATCAATTTTTTTAAACTATTTTTTTTCAATAACTGGCCTTGGGCGACTATCTAAGACAGATGCAAAATTCGGCTACGCGATCGAACAATTCTTTTAAATAAACATGTTTTTCTTAATAGACGGCAATGTTGTGAGCATATGAATTCCTCAACTTCAGAGGTCTATCAGCCTTATTCTAGATGTCAATTACATGTGAATTTACTCGCTCTTTCCCTTCGCCTTATTCTGAACAACATTTTCCAGTGAATTTTTTCGCATTCTCGCTTTCGCCTTATTCTGAATGAAGTTCGAAAGCGAAAAAATCCGCTTTGGCGAAAAATTAGGTATTCTGAATTACAGATGAGATGAAATTTTGTGCGAAATTTTTCGCTAATAAATTTAAGGGGAGTTGACTACAAAAACATAAGTAATAACTATTTTTATGAAAAATATTTACACAATACTTATTCTATGACGATTTAGAATATTATAAATGATAGTAAGCAAATTTTTAACTGGAAAACAGCCAATAAAATGCCATTGGAAATCCTATTGATAACGATGCATGCTGCCAAAGAATGTATGAAGGTAATAAGGAATATTTAAGTCGAGTTTGATGCATTTTGGAGGCGAAATACAGACATTTGTGTGAGGATCTGTCTCTCAAGAAAAACATTTTAAAAATTATGGAAAAACCAAATTTGCCTAATGAGCCGCTTAAGAGTGAAAAACTGATATAAAAATTATGAAAGAACAAAAAATATTTTTTTTCAAAATTATCGTGTGCATGATTTGAAGGAAGAAATAAAGGAGTAGCAGCAAATCATAACATAACTGACCACTTTAAGAATTTGGGGAGATAAAATATCAAAATTAAATAAAAAGGCACACAATTATGTAGTGAAATAATAAACTGTGAATTAATTAATTAAATCGCAGATTTCTTCCTATTATTCGTTGTGTTTTTGCACATCATAAAAAAATGTTCTTTTATTTGTAATCTATTGTAGTTGTTGCAACAAATTGCATCAAAACAATGAACAGCTGTTTCACATGCCATATTGTAGGTTGCCATATTTTCAAACTTTAATTTATTTTCTTTTAATTACAAAGCATTTATACAGCGGATTCTTGATATTTCACATTTGTATTGCTATAAAGTTTAAATAACAATAAAAAGTAACAATTTTTAATAACAAAAATCAATAAATAATATATTGAAAAATATTACACAATTAAATTACAATGGGGCAACACACATTGCAACTTAAATTACAATATGGCCACACACAGCGCAACTTAATTTACGATATGGCAACACGAATCTTTTTTTCAACCACCATTTTCGAAAACTCGAATCTGCATCTCGCATTTTTTGCGTCTCCCTATTCATTCAGAATAAGGCGAGAATGTGAAAGCGAAAAATTTTTTATATGCGAGATATCTCCCAGCGAATATCCAGAATAAGGCTGTATATCTCGGGAAGTATGGACTTCTTCCATGAATGTCATATATTTTCGTCATAAGGGAGACGAGATTCTACCTTTCAGAAAAATCGTAGATGAGCCCCTAAACTGAACTTAAGCCAAATTATCAAATAAAATAAACAGCTGACTACAATTTTAGAGATGTGTTTTTTGTTTTATTGATACAGTCGACTCCGCTTTACTGTAAGTCGCTTAACTGAAAAATATCGGATAACTGAAATAGATTTCCTGCGCCATTACATTTTAGGTTAATCACCCATAATTTACTCCGCATAAGTGCAACTTCGCATAATTGAAAATATCGGATAACTGAAATAGCTTTGGAGTCAAACATTGCAATCATGAGAATGAAAGATACTGACTGAGTATTTTGCATTGAGGAATACACATCTTTAAAGTCCATCCTAATAAATATTTGTCTGTTATTAATGATAATTTCCGACGCATGGAACGTGTGTGTCAAGTATATAAATTTATGTACTAGAATCAAAGATGTACCAAAATATGTTACAAAATGTACCGTTCACAGGCGAAATGACAAAACGAGGTCCCATATAATTAACAACATTTGAAGAGGTCGTCCACTTTTAACTAATCTATTTGATTGATTATTTAACCTTCAAGATGATAGCCAAACTTTAAATAGGAACAAAGTGAAATTATAATGAATAAATTTTGAAAATGAGTATGTTTCTCATTCACACCCCATATTGCATATTGCTAGTATCATTATATGAAACATTTTCAATGAAATGGACCCATATTTTCGCTTTTTAAAATCAATCCTTCTAAGATATATCATAAATATTATATTATAGACCACATAGTATTTAAGATAGATCTTAGGATTGCAACATTAAGACGATGAACTTCGTTACAAGCCGCGCTTTTTAATATTACGCATAAAAAAGACAGTTCATAATAAAAATCGCGTAAGCAGTGAACATGTCAACCAGTTTTAATATATATATTTCGTAAAATTCGAAACCTACGAATTCAATATAAAATATGGATCATTAAAATTTCTAAAATTGAAAAATGATTCGCTTATGAGAAGTTCGGATATCTGAAATTATTTTCAGTTAACCGAACTCCGCTTATGTAAAAACATCGGATAACTGAAACAGACATCCAGATATTTTTCCGTTTCAGTAAAGCGGAGTCGACTTTATTATCGATAAATAGTCGACATCGTCGCATGAGTGTTACAGAATACCTATAGGCAATGTACTACGCGAATTTTAATTCGTTGAAAATTGCTGTTTCTCACTGAATACAAAATCATGGAATTTTTTTCAATTGTTTAACCTTTTTAATTTTTCTGTGAAAACTTAAAAAAAAATGTTCATCATAATTTTTAAAATGTGTGTGTTTGTGTTTATATTATTTAAAAAATAATTAATATAATTATATATTAATAAATACAATACAATGTTCAATGCAACAATCCATTCTCCGCCAATTGTAAAATAAAATTCAACTTCTAAATGCTTAGAATATAGTCTATATTAAGGACGTGTTTACTAAAGAAACAAAAACTTAAATAAAAATATATATTTTATAACCGAAAAAATAGCTACATTATAGGCTGCATTACTTTGTTGTTGTTTTTGTTGCAGCAACACCGTATAAAAATCCAAATGACTTAACAACTAAACAAATGGACAAATATGTTTTTGTTTTCAGTTAGAGAATAAAGTTTTTTGTTTTCTTTTGTAAACTTTCAATTTGACTCGAATAAAGATACTTGGTTTCTGTTCTTAGTTTAAAGTTGTTCAGTACTTAGTGTACCACCTATATATGTAATGCTAAAATATATATAAGAAGATCTGTAATAAAGTTTCTGTTTGGTTTTATTGTGTTCAAAGAACATTTCCATTTTCTATTTTGTTGTTGACCTTTTTCCCTTATTGTTTTTACTATTTTTTGTTAATTGTTCATTAATATTTCGTGGCTTGTTTGAAGCAGAGTTTTCTTTTTTTGTAAAGTATTTCAAGTATTTAAAGTTAATACAATTAAAGTAAAGTTTGTAACAATTTTTGGTTTTCTTTTATATATATTTGTGTGTTTTTGTGTTTTAGACCAAATGATGGAGCGTGTAAAGTTTTGATTTGATTTTTGTTATAGAAAGAGATAAATAGTTTTAGCACTATTGAATAAAGGTTGTTTGTAGGATTTTTTGTTTGTTTTATATTAACTCAATACTCTATGGGTTTAGGATCTCTAGGTTTACGTGAATATTTCAGACCTAAATTATCGCTAATTTCATCAATCACATCTAGAGCATAGTCCAATTGTTCTTTGGTGTGTGCCGCTGACAGACAATAGCGAATACGTCCCTCCATAATGGGTGTGGCTGGGAAACCAACACCAACGACAGCTATATTGCGGGTAGTTAAGGTACGTACAACAGCTCTGCAAAAGTAAATTAAATTTTATTAATACAGTTGTTAATTAAATTTTGTGATCAGAATATAATTATTTTCTTTACATATAGACCGATATTATCATCATAGCACCAAAGAGGTTTAAATAGATATTAAAAATCGTGTATTTTTTAAAGGTTAGGTTAGACATCTTGTTTTCATAAAGATGACTTGAGAAATTTGTAATAAGAAAAAAAAAATAGTTGATAGTCGTTTTCTGTTTCTAAGAAAGTGGGGTTAAAAGAAATTAGAGAAAATGAGTTATATTTATTTTTTATCGCAAAATTAATAATACAATCCTTTACAATAAGACTACTGAGGCATTCGGGGAGGATTAATAGAATTAAAAAAATAATGAGTTGATGGTTTAGATTCAGATACGAAAATATGCAGAAATCATAGTTCAAAGGATTATGGGATAGAAATGGAAACATGTTGACGTCCCCAAAGAAGATAGTTTCTCTCGGAGTCTGAGTCTGGATCTGAAGTAGTTTTTGGAGTTTTGACACAACAATTTTCGATAGCTTCTGAGTAGATAATTCAAATGGTACACCGTTCAGTCCCATTTAAGGGGACCCCCCATTTTCGGGGTCAAAAATTTTTTTGATTTAATTCGAATCGACACTAATTCAAGAATGTCCCAACAAAATTTCAAGTGAAAATCTCAAGCACTCTTGAAAATATAGCTGATTTATTGTATCAGCATCAAGTGACGGCTAAAGGGCTTCTCAAACTTTAAACGTGTTTTTCTCTTTTGCGAATGGCGGGCACGATAATTCGAAAACTAATAACCCAATCGATTCCAAATTTTTACACGTTTCTCTGTGAGTGTATAGCTATCGTATGAACTAGGATAAAGCCAATCGGTGAAGATCTTCCTTATTTTTTAACTTGGTTTTTGGTCAAAAATCGGCAATTTTACAAAAATATTTTTTCAAAGCTGCGCCATTTTGTTAATTTTAGAGCGAAGTCAATAATCCTATACGAGAGCCAGACATGTACTCTTTCTAACACCGTTGGAATTTTCGGATTCCGATGTTCCAGTGAGGAGTTATCATGCCCGCCATCAAAAATAAGGACTTTTCTTTAATTACAAAAAACAACAACAAAACAATAACAAAAATTTTTTGTAAATTATTTTTCTTCTCTTTTAAATCTTCAAATATATATGTGCAAAGTTACAAACCTTAACAAGCATTAATATTGATTTACCAGCCCATTGAAAATCTTGAAAAATTAAAATCGGGAATGGGTGGGGTAAATGATGTATACAAAGCCCAAAATTAGGCCGATTGCCGCAAAATTTTGCACAATGTACTGAAGTTAATCTAACATAACGGGGCTCAAGTTTCGTTGAAATCGGTTCTGATTAAGATGTAGTTCCCACAACGCACTGAAGTTTGTATAGTCCAATGAGTCTCAAGTTTTGTCGAAATCGGTTCAGATTTGTATGTAGCTCCCATATTTAATTTCGTCCGATTTTAGGTAAATGACTCACCAAAAGCCTAAAAATGAGCCGACCGTATCAAGTTTTATTGAAATCGGTTCGGATATAGATGTAGCTCCCATATAAAGTTTTGTCAGATTTTCCGAAAATGGTACACCAAAGACCCAAAGTTAGGCCGATTGCCACTAAAGTTTGAACAAGGCCATGATGTTAGTATAACCTAACGTTTGTTAAGTTTTGTTGAAATCGGTTCAGATTTGTATATAGCTCCCATATATTATTTCGTCCGATTTTAAGTAAATGACGCACAAAGGCCTAAAAAATAGCCAATTGACACAAAATTTTGTACAACGTACTGAAGTTACTCTAACATAAGTGGGTCAAGTTTCGTTGAGATCTGTTTTGATATAGGTATAGCTCTTATATATATTTTCGACCGATTTTCTGCAAATGGTGCAACATAGACCCAAAGTTAGGCCGATTGGCACCGAATTTTGCACAACGTACTGAAGTTAGTGTAGTATAATATATGTCAAGTTTTGTTGAAATCGGTTCAGATTTGGATATAGCTCCCATACATATTTTCATCTGATTTTATGAACGCCGCTAGGACTGATTCTTTCAATTGCTACTACCTATAGATGCGTCGAAAAACTAAATTGTGTCAAAAACCCCATACCTATTAAAATCCGTTTTAATCCCTACTATAACACCTACCCAATTTTGGAGAAAAGATACACCAACATAGGCACAACAGGCGAATCTTCATGACCATATGTGATGACACCCATTTGAGCCAAACGTCTACGGAAATAGCGGGTATTACGAGCCAATTGATTGATTTTCCGCCGGCCGAGATCACTGCCATCAACGCCCATAATAATGCTCATCGATGTGTAAATTTGCTGGGCCACAGGGGGAGACATTGTGGCAGCATAACAATGTGCATGACTGTTTGTGCGTAAGAAATCAACCAATTTCTGCAAAGGAGAAAACATTTCTAATGACCATATTTTTTACATATTTTCATAATGCCCTACCTTTGATCCGGCAATATAGCCACCAGCACTACCAAAACTTTTTGTAAATGTACCCATAAGAATATCAACATCCTTGGGATCACAATTAAAATAGTCCACAACACCACCACCATTGGGTCCCAAGGCACCAATACTGTGAGCCTCATCCAAATACAAATAGGCCTTGTATTTCTTTTTTAGGGCAATTATTTCGGGTAGACGGCAAATGCTACCCTCCATACTGTACACACCTTCACAAATAATTAAAATCTTCTTCCATGGTTTACCACCATTCTTGGGATTGCCATATACTACGCTCTGTCGCAAAACCCTTTCCAAATCCTTCATGTTGTTGTGTTTGAACACCTTTGTGGTGGCACCGGACAAACGTATACCCAAAATAATTGAAGCGTGATTCTTTTCATCACTCAATACGAGACAGCCTGGCGATAGCAGGGAAGGTAAATTTAAGGCATTTGTTGCAAAGCCCATACCAAATACAATGGCATCTTCAACACCCAAATAACGGGCTGTCAACTTTTCCAAATCAAGATGTAGCTGGGTGGTGCCCAATTCGACACGGGGACTACACAAAGCCAAACCCAAATCGCGGCATGTCTTCTCCGAATTGTCGGCACAGGGGCCAGTGGCAGCAGCAAAGCCCAAATAATTGTATGATCCCAAATTGAGACACCTCGTCTCGGTGCCCGTGAATTCAAATGACCAACCATAGTCGGGGGTGATACGATCTTTTAGTGTCAACTCAGCGCCGGGTACACTGCATATGGGACGATTCCAACAATCTCGTATTCTCCGATACACATAACGTGAATAGAAACTTTCAAAGGCATCGTAAAGGCTGACATAGCCATCACGATTTTTCTCCTTGGCCACTTTTGGTACAAATAACAACTGATTCAAATAGCCCAAGATCATGAGCAAATAGAATCCTAAATATGTAAGGCAGGCGGTGCGAAGAGGAACTTCCTCGAATGAGGTTTTCTGATAATGCTCTTCGGCTGGTGGCAGGATACCATCAGCAGCAGATGGTTTTGATTTGGCGCCATATTCGGTGCTGGAATTTGGGGCGATATTATAGAATCCATTTGTGGTTTTCTGGAAAGGAGAAGAAAAAATTTAAGAATTTATTTGAATTTAAATGAATTTATGTTAGGAATGTAATGATGATTGCTCCAATTTCCCAGTTTAACCAATATTGAGAATAATTTGTATTTCAGTTATAAAAAAATATATTGCATGACTTTCGGTTTATTTAACAACTAAAAAAAACCAAATTACGATTGCGTTTGCTGCTTCATTTAATGTTCTTATCTGACGCTATAAAAAATAATACCCCAAATGAAAAAACTACAACAACAAATATATAAATAAAATAAAATGCATTTAAACGATTACATGAGCACATGAATCAAATAATAATTGTTTCGAATTTTAGGAATACACTACCTCACCCCACAACGTGTTATGAATGTACAAAAAATATTTATGATTTTTGTTGGTATCTAACAACAAAGTTAATATAATAATAACAACAAATCCATATGGGGCGTCAAAAAAATATTATCGTCGTTATCATTATTGTACACCAAAAAAAAAGTCGGCACTCGTGGAATGACTGTGTTATTATTCCCTATACCTATCAGTCATACATACGTAAAAATAAACACCTGAAACACGCCACTACTTCATACTAAAAAAATATTTAATTTAGATTATAAACATTTGTAATTTGTAATACGCAACGTTTTTGTTTGAATCATTTTATGATTTGTTAGTCTAATGATTAGGATGGATAATAGAAATGGTTGGATGGTGACGATGGTTGTGATTTCATTTTTTGGGTGTATTGCCAACTTTGGAACCAAATATTGAAATATAGGAAGCGGATTTTGGCCTTTTTACTGAATAATCAGAACATTTTTCTTCTTATTATTAAATAAACCATGGGGCGAAGTGTACATTAACTTAGTATTCACACACCACCTTGTGCGTCACAAAAACATGTTGACTTTTTAGATAAATTCGAACACAAGCTTTTTTTCTGGAAGTAATATGAACATTTTCCCCCAAATCTACCAACAATTGGGAGTAGAGTAGAAACGTATACAAAAAGTTATCGCAGATCTTTTAAATTCATTAGCAAGTATATGTTAATGGCACAATAGTTTTTTTTTTCTTCAAATACTTTACAACAAATATACAATACAAGACAACAACAACAGATCTCAGCATACAAAACAAACATCACACGTTTTATGTTTATTAGAAAAATAATAACAAAAACAAAAAAAAACAAGAACTGATACAATGCATTTGTTCGAATAGATTTTTTTTTTTGTATTTAAACGCCTCATTGAATGTTGTGAGCGAACGAACGAACAAACAAACGATCGAGTCAGTAAGAAATCGAATTAATTGATGTATGACCACACAGTTCACAACAATGTCAAAAAATGTGGTAGGTAGAATGGATTCTTAATAGAAATCAATGAAACCCAATAGAGAGTGGAGAGCAACATTTAAATTCAAATATTTCTATGATATAAACAATATGGACATATTTTAAATATGTAAAGAACATTATAGAAACTATTTGACCTATGCCATCATCATCAACACCATTCAAATGATATTAAGTCTGTTGGCAATTTGTGGCAAATTAACAGATCTACGTTTAGAATTTCTATGTTTAGAATTGCTCATCGAAATACACACCTCCACATTTATGTTTTCATATTCCATTTGGAAAAAGCAAGAACACGGCTAATCAATTATAAACAAAGGTACAAAGTCCATGTTTATATTTTTGGAAATCAATTCGAACAATAGAGTACAGCCTAAGTATAATATAAACGTAATACTGATTTGAACATTTTTATATAGTACAACTCTTCGTCTAGCTAGTCCCGTTTTCTGTGAAAATGATGACATGCAACAAATGACTTTTTTTCGTGGAATATAAGTTAATTTGAAGATACATTAACGACAATTAACGGATGAAATGTAACGTACGTTTCCTTTTCAGTGTCGAACGTGCCTGGAAGGTTACATATTTTACAGAAGTTCCATGAATAAACACATACAAATTCATCATTATATTGGCAGAAGTCGTAAACAATCAGAAAAATATTTAGATTACATGGTTGCATTATAGTACATTCTACAAAATTTTGTTATAACCTTCACATGAATGTGCAACATTTATATAGATAGGCATTCAAGAAAAAAGTTTTTCCGATTAGAACCAAAATCTGGAATGACAACATAATAGTCTGAAATTTGTTAGGTCCATACCGCTATAATGAACATGGATCCATGTATACTGACATTTTTCAACAGATTTCCTACTACTAACTAACTTCCGCAATTCGTATGAAATTGCAGAATTTCATATTACAACATATTCAAAGGGCATTTATTCGATGGATACTTGCATATCGAAACCATATTTCAATATCGGAACCAGTAATCAATGTTGATTCTGAAGTTTAATAACATGAGAATCTGGAAGGGGCATTTTGCAAAGCTTCTGGTAACGGTAGCCAAGATGAGGGCATAAAAGCAATCAATCGGCTGAAAATAATAAAGCAGCTGGTATCGATAGGCTACCAGCCGAACTATTTAAAACAGTTGGTCAGATGATGGTCAGGAGCATGCACCAGATCATTATTACAATTTGGCTAGAGGTATGCATTAAATCAGTGTTGTACAGATGGCGTAATGTTAAATGCGTGTAGGTTACAACATTGTCGATATGACTGTCAAATGTTAGTTTATCATCAATAAGTATGTCAAGGCATCTTATGCTATTGATGATATTAATAACTTGACAGTTATAAGCCAGCGACAAATTAAAGTGAGCATAGCTAGAAAAACCAAAGCATGTGTTTTTGTAGGATTAACAATTAGCGGGTTGGAGTTCATCCATGCATATAGCAGGCTCATAACCCATTTAAATTTTGTTAGAATTGTCTGCAGATGCTTTAAATAACAGTTCTATATCATCTGCATATAAATATGAAGAAAAAAACAACAGACAATAAATCAGAGAAAATACCATTCATAAAAATACATTGATATCTTTCAGTTAAGTTTAAGCCCCGATTTTTTCCGCAATCTGTTCACAGATTTAATGCAACTATCCTAAATAGGATATGCACAAAATTTGACATCGCTACATCCTTGCATTCGGGAGATACAGTACATTATTTCGGAAAAATTAAAGTCCAATATCAAGAAAACCAAATGGAAAATCGACAAAAAAAAATCATTTTAAATTATTCTCTATATTCAAAATCGACAAAAAAAATTTAAATTATTCTCTATATTCATTTTTACAAGGATGAAAAATAATTCTGATGGCAGAATTCGTACAATTTGAATACGAAGTGATTTAAATAATTTGGACTGTATACACAAATTGGTGCTGTACACAAATTTACCCATTTCTCTACATTGAAAAACTCATAACTTTACGAAAATTTGGATTTTTTAGATTTTTCTTTTGATATGTGTCTGTCCATTATCAAGTCTTGACATGTGAAATTCAAATAATATATATCTACTACCTGCATATTAAATATAAGCTCTAAAACATTTTGTTGCCTGTGGGCAACTTTGGGACCACAGAGGGTTAAATATGACTTCAAAAGCCGCATTGACAATCATCAAGCATATTGTGCTTCTCCAAATAAATATCAAGTTGCACTTTTAAATCATATTTCACAACTTTCGATAAAACGGGAAATAGAGCTATTGGCCTGTAATTATCTCCATTGGAGCCCTTCTTCCTGATTGGCTTAATATTTGATTTTTTCCACTCTTTAGGAAACGTTGACGTCATAATGATGGTATTAGTCACGTGTAAAAGAAGAAATATGCGGAAAAATAATTTTGAAAAATTTTTGCTATTGATGATATTAATAACTTGACAGTTATAAGCCAGCGACAAATTAAAGTGAGCATAGCTAGAAAAACCAAAGCATGTTTTTTGTAGGATTTACAATTAGCGGGTTGGAGTTCATCCATGCATATAGCAGGCTCATAACCCATTTAAATTTTGTTAGAATTGTCTGCAGATGCTTTAAATAACAGTTCTATATCATCTGCATATAAATATGAAGAAAAAAAACAACAGACAATAAATCAGAGAAAATACCATTCATAAAAATACATTGATATCTTTCAGTTAAGTTTAAGCCCCGATTTTTTCCGCAATCTGTTCACAGATTTAATGCAACTATCCTAAATAGGATATGCACAAAATTTGACATCGCTACATCCTTGCACTCGGGAGATACAGTACATTATTTCGGAAAAATTAAAGTCCAATATCAAGAAAACCAAATGGAAAATCGACAAAAAAATCATTTTAAATTATTCTCTATATTCAAAATCGACAAAAAAAATAATTTTAAATTATTCTCTATATTCATTTTCCAAGGATCAAAAATAATTCTGATGGTAGAATTCGTACAATTTGAATACGAAGCGATTTAAATAATTTGGACTGTATACACAAATTGGTGCTGTACACAAATTTACCCATTTCTCTATATTGAAAAACTCATAACTTTACGAAAATTTGGATTTTTTAGATTTTTCTTTTGAAATGTGTCCGTCCATTATCAAGTCTTGACATGTGAAATACAAATAATATATATCTACTACCTGCATATTAAATATAAGCTCTAAAACATTTTGTTGCCTGTGGGAAACTTTGGGTCACAGAGGGTTAAATATGACTTCAAAAGCCGCATTGGCAATCATCAAGCATATTGTGCTTCTCCAAATAAATATCAAATTGCGCTTTTAAATCATATTTCACAACTTTCGATAAAACGGGAAATAGAGCTATTGGCCTGTAATTATCTCCATTGGAGCCCTTCTTCCTGATTGGCTTAATATTTGATTTTTTCCACTCTTTAGGAAACGTTGACGTCATAATGATGGTATTAGTCAAGTGTAAAAGAAGAAATATGCGGAAAAATAATTTTGAAAAATTTTGGCTATCAAAGTCCTGCTGCATTTGATTTAACGACTAAAACCCCTAAATGAAAATCGGCGGATGAAACACATTGAAATGGAAATCCCTCATTAGCAGTTAACATATTTTTGATGTCAATGTTGGTATCACAATCTATCTGATTGCTAACAATAGACGCATTTAAAGAATTAATATCTTCAATGGATGGCTCTTTCTCCGTAGTATTATTTTCATTAATTAAACCATTCTTTCTTATTGTACTCCAAAGAAAAGAATTAAAATTAAAATAATTTTAATTTAAATAGAATGTTTTAATGCAGGAATAAATTTAAATTAATTAGAAAAAGACTCCAATACTCCAATTGAAATATTTAAAAATTTATATTTTAATTTTGGATTTGTTTTGAAATATTCTTGTCCATGGAATGAATTAATTTGATTTCGAATTGAATTCAATTGATCGAAATTATGACCAGTTTAGTTATTATCGCTAATATCAAAAGATTATATAACTTCTGAAACCTGTTAAAATGCAAAAAAAAAAGAATATTAAATTATAACCTGCATAATTATAAAACAAAATTCGAATCAAGGACTGCGAATGTAAATACTTTGAAAGTATCAATCGTTTGTCACTTAAAACAAGGAGGATGGGAATGGACGATTTATTTTAATGTTTCCCTGTGGATAATTTTTTAATGACTGTGAAATATTGAAATACAACTTACAATTCAATTGCATGTTTTGGAACTATGTGCATTCCTCATAAATTTAGTATTTTTACTTCTTTCAATCGAATACCTTTTGCTGAATTTGAAGTATTTCTTAAACAATTTTCAAAAAACGAAAAAAATAATAACATTCTAAAAACTCAAGGATATAATAATTAGTTTTCGTCTATATCACACTATAGTTAAGATTAGATAAGAAAGCATTTTGAAGCACTATCTAGATTTTATAATATGACGAATATTAATGGATTTTGTAAATAATAAAAGAGTTTTTGGCGCGTTACAAAACAAAGAAAATAATCACCCTTTTCGGTATAATAGGTATCTGTGTCTGTCTATATACCCTTTATACATATGGTCAAATATCAAATAATTGTCGTTCGACTATCTCCCATTATGCGAGTGATTCATAAAGTAATTATTTGATGATGGTGAGTCACTATATAATACTTTGATCTATATATTTGTTGTATTTGTCATTTTGTGATAAGAGATTGGGGGATCGAAAGGTTTAGTTTTTGTTTGGGGGTGCCTTTAACAATTGAGGTATGATAGTGGGTTTTTGTGATCTTTTGTGGTCAAAGGTAAACAAAAATCATAGCAATACCTTATGTTGTTAACTAAAATCTTTTGTAAGGGAGATCGAGATCCTCAACTATTGAAAAAATAATAAATGCAAAATAAGTGTAGCTCACTAAAGTAGTTTATTTTAAATTTGGACGAGTTTAGATTTTGGTTTCTAAAGTAATTCTTTTGTCATTATTAAAACTTCTCGTATTGTATTGAAAAACACTAAAAATCCTAAATTAAACTTCTTTGAATTAAGATAGTTCGTTCTATTGTAGTTATTTTTGCCCCTATGAATATTGAAAATAATTATTCATATTTATGAACAAGTTTTGCTTTCACAAATACATACCCATACCTATTTAATAATTTTCTCATAATTAATAATTCATCCTCGCATATAGTGGTGATCATATAAAAAAATTACCCTCCCTCATGTGATAAGATAATAACTGGCATTTTTATTGATTACTACCATAAAATGGTTTATAAGGTATTACAAGAACATGCCAGCCGGTAACGGCCGCCAGCCAGGTGCATTTGGATTAAACAGAAAAAAAACATGCCAAGACAGTATTTTTGTATTTTCCTACAGCGATTAAAGTAATTATTTAAATGTAGCACACAAAAATCGATGTCAATATGTAAATAGAATAACATTTCCCCAGTGTTTGCTGCTACTTGACCTACAGAGAAAGTTGTCATCGTTGAGAGTAAATTCTCTGTGGTCAAATTCTCCCCTCTTTCACATTACCCTCAATGCGCCCTAATTTTGGTAGCAACAATTAACTAAGAAATTATGAAAATTAAGGGGTGTGCTTGTTGTGAATACAATGGGTGGGTGGTAGATGAAGTAAGAAATGTCAAAAAATGAAATTCATATGAAGGAAGACCGGGAAGTTTAGTTCCGCAGTACTGCAATTCAATATTCTATTCATGTTCATGTTTGCTTCTTCGTAGCCGCCAACCAAACTGACACCACACATCGAATAACGTACGTACATACGCACCAACAATCATAAACAAAATTCCAATTGGATTTTTTTTTTTTTTTTTTTTTGGAATTTAACACAAACACGAGCACGCCCTAAAGCAGTCAGAAGCAGCGACGACAGTAGTGACCATGGCAGAGGAACCAAACGAACCGCAAACGCAAAAATACCCCCAAAACATACTGTTGTTGCCACACTATAATTATGGAGCACGAAAATTAAGTTTTTTTCACTTTCTTCTTAGCAATGATGCCGATATTAATAAACACCACGATTCTATTTGCATTCCAGTTGTGGAAATCTTTAAATTAGTCACAAGTTTTTGATTATAAATCAATTGATTTTCGTCGGCACAACACAAACAACTGATCTGGCAATAATATCGGAAAATAACACAATCACACCATAACCGCTAACAACGGCGCCGCCAGCAGCAACCCCCAGCAGCAATTATTAATTTAATGATTTTTTTTTTGGTTTTTCTAAATTAAGATCATAGAACTTTTATGGACAATGCATTGTATATGGTATTCTTAATTTGATAATTCACACACACACACACTCGATTTAATTATTTACTGTTTCGCTTAAGATTCGCAAGAATTCACACATTGCCTTTTTCCTCCATCATCATCGTAGTTTTTTTTACCTTGAAACCATTGCTCATGGTATTAGCCTTGAGACCATTTTTTCGCGTACGAATTTCTCTGTAGGCCGGAGTATTAAATTTCTTCAAGTGCAGTTCTTCCTGCTCCTGGTCGTATTTATTTTGCAGGTGCTCTGTTGACATTATGCTATCGTTTTCATTAAAATCACCACCATCTGGATTTCCCATTTTTTGTGAATTTTTTCTTTGCTTTGCTATGTGTTTTCACACTTCACTATTTTGTCGGTTATTTTGTTTCGTTCGGTAGTTAGTTGTGCCGCCTATGCGACACAGTGGGTAGTGAGCGTAGTACTGTACTGGCTGTCACTGTCACCGACTGCAGAAACATTGAAAAACGTTCCACCAGCTAACGAATGGAAGGAGAAGACAAAATCCCCGAAATTGCAGAACCGAAAGTTACGAATGAGGTGGGATGGAAACTAAAAGAGAACCACAGTCGGAGAACCGAGCCATACTGAAATGTTAATGTGTGACGGCGTTACTGACGTAAAACGATTTAAAAATTAGGCAGTAAATAAAATAACTAAAAGCGAATTTACATATAACATTTAATCATGATTAAAGGCTGAATCAGGGTTTATTTTCTTAATCAGGCTAAATTTACCATGATTTACCACACAAATTTAAATCATTGTGCAGCAGGATTTATTTTAAATCATGATTGAAATCATGATACTACTGAGATGCAACGCGGGTTTTGTACGAAAAAATACAACTCTCTCACAATGTACCAAAATTTGCAACTGTTTTTACATGCCGTTTTTAAATTTAACGGCTGACAAATACAAAAATGACAGATCAAAGGAAAATAAAAATTAATTATAGAATATTTGTGTTTTTAGGTGTTTTTTTTTTAATTTTCCAAACGATCACAGTATTGCAAAAACATTTCCATTGTGGTAATTCTTCTATTCTTTTTCAAACTGCAAACAAATATTTTTGGCGCAAATTAATAATTTTGTATGTATACTAACAAACATCAGCTGATCGGCATTTAGATCATGATTAAGGGTATGTGTAAACAATTAGGGTGTATTTCTGGATTTCGTTAATCGAGTTGATTCAAAATCGTATATGTAAATGTACTTTAAGTTTATTTACATTGTCTCACGAATTCTCTTAAGGGAACACCCCCATTCTGGATTTTAAATGTAAAATCAATACCAGTGCTTGTTAAGGTTTGTAACTTTCCATATATATTTGAAGATTAATAGGAAAACAAAAATAATTTACAACATTTTTTTAGTTATTGTTTTATGAGATTAAAGAGAAGTCCTTATTTTTTATGGCGGGCATGATAACTCCCCACTGGAACATCGAAATCCGAAAATGGTGGTGTTAGAAAGAGTACATGTCTGGCTCTCGTTTGAACTAGTATTATTGACTTCGCTCAAAAATTAACAAAATGGCGGACCTTAGAAAAATATTTTTCGAAAATTGCCTATTTTTGACCACAAACCAAGTTCAAAAATAAGGAAGATCTTCACCATTTGGATTTATCCTAGTTCATACGATAGCGATCACAGAGAAACGTTCCAAAAGTTGGAAATGATTGGATGATTAGTATTTGAGTTATCGTGAATGTCATTCGCAAAAACGCTGTTTAGAGAAAAACGTGTTTAAAGTTTGAGAAGATCTTGATGCTAGTACAGTATTTTTCGGTTAATTGCACATAAAAATTTGCACAAGTTTTCGTTCAATTAACCGAGGAACCAATTATCCGAACCCGCTTAATTGAATAGTTTGTTCAATTACAGTAATCAGTTCCAATTATTGAACTACTAATGATTTAAAAAAATCCAATGTCAAATACAAATTACGCTTTCTCGAAGTTTTTCCTCAGCAATACACATATGTTTTTAATTAGTAGAGATGCTACCCAGCCTTTTTCACAAATTATGTCAAATATGTATGTAAAAAAATGGCAGATTATTTTTCAATTATTATTTTAATTAGTAGAGATGCTACCCAGCCTTTTTCACAAATTATGTCAAATATGTATGTAAAAAAATGACAGATTATTTTTCAATTATTATTATGCAATATAAAAGGAAATTTATTTTTGATGACATGAATTTTGAACCAATTAAGCGGAATATCAATTAACAGGGTTTCATTATCCGAGAAAATTTACATGTATTTTCCTATGAAATATTTTTTGCCCCATCATGTGGTTCAATTAAGGGTGGAAACCAATTAACCGTAGGGTCAATTAACCGAAAAATACTGTATAATAAATCGGCTATGTCTTCAAGAGTTGCTGAGATTTTCAATTGAAATTTCATAGGGACATTCTTGAATTAGTGCAGATTCGAATAAAATCAAAATACAAAATTAATTTTTTTTTTTTTTGAAACGGAGAATGGGGTGTCCCCTTTATATAACATTAAATGAGAACAGTTGCAACTTTTAGTACTTTATGGCACAAAAACAGGATTGTATAGCATAGTATGGTGTGTTAGCTGCAATCGTCACTTATTTTTTTATGGTAAATGACCAAAATTGTGCCGGTTTTAAAGTACATTTACATATACGACTTTAAATCGATTCAATAAACCAAATCCAGAAATACAGCCTAATTGTTTACACATACCGATCAGCTGATATTTGTTAGTATACATACAAAATTATTAATTTGAACCAAAAATATTTGTTTGCAATTTGAAAATGAAAAGAAGAATTACAACAATGGAAATATTTTGATTATAAAACACAAAAAAATTTAAAAATTATATTTATTTTTTATTTTGTGAAAACAGTTGTAAATTTTAGTACATTATACATTATAAAAAATACGATAATACAATTTGAGCTTTACAATATATAGGGAAGCCGAGCAAATACAACACCATTTTATGAAATGACAGACGATGGAAAAATATGGTATCCGCGTTTAATTTTTTTCTGAACCAATTTGTTGATGAGAATTCCAATTATATTAATTTAAAAGAGTATTAATCGCGCGTTAACATTATCAAATCAAAAAATCGCAACGGAAGTTCTTTGACCTTTGGTTTACAATTTACTTCTATTTCCTAATGGGAAAATGTGACGCAGCAAATCCCCTGGCAATGATAAATTTCTATTTCAACGCTATTTTTGTATGAGCTACCTCTACATATGACAATGACTAAATTAGAGGAAAATCTGAAAGCAATACAATTATTAATCTGTAAAAATTTGCATTCATGGTGTTCTTCAAAATGAAATTCTACCCGTGGCCGTAACCAATTATTGTTAATAAAAACATCAATCAAAAACATTTTTAAATAAACTATTCTAAACTAAGGTATTCTCAAATAACTGAAGGCATTCTCATAGACGAACTGAAATACCTGAAGGTCTTCTTCTCCTGTGTATTTACAAAAATATTTTTCAATTGTTGTCGATTCGAGAAATGACATGTTTATTGTCCGGTAGCTAATCATTTAAATTTGTGTACCATATGTATTCCTAGGGCACTGAATACAACGACATACTTCCAGTACTATGTGCATCTAAAGTTTCATTGGGACCTTGTGTTTTTATGGTCTTCAACTTAAAGCAACGATACTCATAATTTGTATGGGGTTGAGATCCAGATTACGTCAATATAAATTGTTTGGCATCACCACAACCGCCTCCAAACGAAAAAGGATAATATATTGGCCCCAAGGGAACTTTAGATGCTAATATCAGATGGGGCCTCTTGATCTACTTATTGTGAATTTCAAATCGTTGACCGGCCCTTAAACTTATCTAAATAAATTCATTTTTCTATTCTGGAATAAAATTAAAAAAGTAAACAAACAAAATATTTTACAATGGCAACAATATCATTTATGTTGTTGGTTTGACAGGCTCAGGTACAAATATTCCATAGTTGTATTTGGATTTTTGAAATGAGACTACATTTATTATTTTGCCATGAATTGTACCATAGATTTTTGTATAAAATTTTCCAAAATATTCAGAGTATTTTTCGAATTTCGGACTTTACATCCGATTTTTTTTAATTCGAAAAAAACTTCCGACCTAAATACTAGCTGACAGTCATTTGAAATGATCTCAATTATGGTGTAAATAACCTTAATGTATTTTCAGGATTTCGTAAATCTACATCATATAAAAAGCGTATATGTGAATGCGCTATAAATGTGTACAAATTGCCTTGTCGTGGGCGCCATCTCTTGTATAATACGTAAACAAATCAGTTTAATTTCATCATGTGGAGCGATTTTTATTTTGATTGTCATTAGTTGACATTGAATTAACAGCTGATGGTGAATGAATACCGGGAACATTAAATTTTGCCGAACTTTGATTAATAATTGGATTATATTTAAAATCTAATCAGACAAAACGAACATCATCTGTGATTAATAATGCAATTGAGTTTCTTTAAATTTATATTGTCCACTCATTCATAAATTCCAATAAAATTCTGTTTAGTTTATTTCTTGGTCGCTCTCCAAGCAAGAGAGAGAGCTTTCAAAAAGAGAGCAAGAGAGTCATCGGCTAAAAGAAAAGTACACACACACATACTAAACAACAAAACGACTGACTGAATTGAATTCATTTGCAAAATTGAAGTGCAACCAACCAATCATTCACTACGACGACGCGAGGGCGATTACTGTTAATCAAGAAGCTGGAAAGGAGCAAAGGCATATCTATATTTTTTAAAATATAAAGAAAAAATTAAGTGAACTATAATAATAATTTGCGAGTATTTGTTAATGAGTTAAACAAAATAAAACGACTTTTAGAAAAAAAGAAAGAAAAAATATTGCAGTAGAAAAAAAATTAAAAGGTAAAAAAAGTCCTGAGAGCTTAGTGTCAAGAAAAGAAAAAATAAACTGAGAGAAGAGAGCAAAAGGCCACAAAGTGTCAAATGAAAATTGAGTGAACAGTGTGATAAAAAAGAAAACATACGTCACTTTTGAACCCCTTCTTATTTGACACAGTCAACCGTCAACCAATCACATACACAAAGTCCTTCCCGTAAATCCTTGATTCCTTCAGAAATAAAAACCCAAAAATGGATTTTAATTTTGGCGATTTGAAAAAAGAAACCAACTCGGCCGTCGAAAACATTTTTGACCGTGCTGACGATGCCAAGAAACACGCCCAGGATATGTTGGGCAGCATTGATGACGTTTTAGGTGGTGGTGTTGAAAAAACTGACACTGTTAAATCGGATGGCATGGTAGATCCATTGGACCCCCAAGCTTTCGTACAACGTATGTCAGCTGGAGCCAAGGAGGCCCAAGAGGAATTGGATGCCAAATTTTCAAAGAACACCAATGATTTAGAAGATTTCCTTGGTCAGACCACAAACAGTGTAAAACAAGGTGTGGCTTCGTTGACCAATGATTTCATGAATGCTGAACGTGGTTTTAAGGACCAGGCAGGAGATGCTGCGAAGGAAATTGAAAAGAAGGCAGCCCAGGCTGTTGATGATATATTCGGACACTTTGGTGGCGGTGACAATAACTTTAAGCCCTCAGCTCCAGTAGAGGGTGTAGCCAAAAGTGCAAACAGCCAATTAAACGACTTTGACGACGATGATGATGATGAACCGGCTGCCATGACAACATTCGGCAAAACAGCTGCAACAGGCATTGCGGCTAGCAACAAAGATTCCGACAATGATTCACCTTCCATTTCGTACAATCCTTCTCCAGCCAAGAAGCTACCATCCGATGCTCTAAAGGAGCAGGACAATGAGAAATTCATTTCCAGTGAAGATCTTTTGGGTGATTTCAAAGATGAACGTACCGCAACACCCGACTCTCAGGCATCCGGCAATAACTATTCAGCACCATTGGCTAAATTGCAAGAACCAAAAACAACAGATCTGGATGCAGATGATTTCGATGATGATTTTGTTCAGGCTGAAATTCCTAAACAAGTTGAAGAGAAAAGCGCACCAGTTGTTGAACCGACACCACCCGTACCAGTACCAACTCCAGCGGTGGCTAAACCCGTTCCTGTTACAATGGAACCGGTAAAAGAACAGCCAGCGCCTGTATCAGAAATTAAAAAGGAGACACCAGCACCGGTTGCTGCTCCGACGACTGCTCCTACTCCAGTAGTTACGAAACAAGCATCGGCTCCTAAGCCCCCGACTACAACAACAACATCGAAGACAACACAGCAACAACAACAGCAACCCAGTATTGTATCGGTTGAGGATATTTTCTATAAATATGGTTTGGGTAAGTTGCAGCAGCAATGTAATCTTAATTCAAATATTCACTTTGTACATTTATATGAGGTTGAAGTTGTTAGAAATTCGAGATATCATGGCCCGAAAAAAGGGGATTCACAGATTCAAATGATTTTTATAAGAAAATCAACTTAAAATGTTGACTATTATGTAGAAAAATTTAGTTTGATCCGGAAAATTAATCTTGCCCGCCATTCGTAAAAACACTGATTCGAGAAAAACGCGTTTAAAGTTTGAGAAGCACTTCAGCCGTCGCTTGATACTGACACCAAAAATCGGCTATATCTTCAAAATTTGTTGAGATGTTTACTTGAAATTTTATGGGGTCATTATTATAGCTTTGTGCAGCCCGAAGAGTTTGTAACACCGCGGAATATTGGTCCTAGACCCACCTTTAAGTATACCGATCATCATAGACATGTGTGTCCGTCCGTCTGTCAATTATAATTTGTAAACACGATACAGGTCACAGTTATGGACAGTTATGAATCTTTACCAAATTTTGCATGTAGGATGGGTTCTGACCAATGAAGGCCCCTATTGTTTTTGGTAAAGATCGGTTAATATTTAGGAGATGACATGGACCAAATACTAAATTTTTGTCGGTTTTTCTGGTCGCTCCAGAGGCCACAATTATTGCACGAACATCGTGAAATTTTACATGCAGAAGAGGATAGGGCCAAAGAATAATCATGCCTGTTTTGATAAGGAACATGGACCCGAGAAGTTGATAGTATATCCAAGAGGAGTGGTTGATTTTTATATTGATACCAATTATATTGTCGTGTGTAATCGGATGTGAAAGTTACACTAAAATATTTACCGGTGCTTACGTATTCAGACATTATTCAGTAACACCATTACCACACTAGAAGGCGGAAATATAGCGCTGGTCGCTTTGAAATTTCCATGAGGTTCCAGTTATGGTCAAGGACAACGCCTATAGTTTTCGGTGATGATCAGATAATAATTATGGGATGAAGTGGACCGAAAACTTAATTTTTTGTATTTTTTCGAATCGATTTATAGGCCAAAATTATAAGCCGAACATAACTGTACTGAATATTTGTAATATTTGGAAAATATGTCAGTGTTGATCTCCAATCGGGGAAGAGGGTGCAAATATCACGAAATATTGCCCAGGCTCGGAAGAAACATCCGCAGAAAGTTAAAACTCCGTGGTAGTTGTGTAGGGTATCGTATGGTCGGCCCCGTCCGACTATACTGCTCCCCTCACTGGTTTTTGAATTAGTGTGTTCGAATCAAATCACAAAGTAAAATTACATTTTTTGAAACTGAGAATGGTTGGGGTCCCCTTAAAACAGACTAGATTAGATTATAAGACGTGTAGCCGTCATATAAAACATCTAGTTCATTCGGATACCTAGTGTTCCATTAGTTATATTTGGTTCAAGAAGCCTGGTTTGATTTTAGATAGTAGGCAATGTTAAATGATTTCTCGCTCGTTTTCTCTCACTTCAACCCTATAAATGATTTCATATTTTTGTTTATTTAATTTTTATTTTCGTTATATTTAGAAGAGAAATACTTTACAGCTTTATAGTTATCATGTTTACTTATTCTTATTATTTGTGTGATATATACGTTTATATTTGTTCATTTGCATCTCGTTTTGTATGCGTTTGAGAATTGTATACACACATATGTACTGTTGGAGATTTGTTTTAATTAGCATTGTGCTTTACGTATTATATATATCGGCTACCATTTTTTCAAATCTACCAATTAGCAAACAAAAAACAGAAACCCATTGTCTAAACGTGTACTTAGATTTGTGGAAAAGTAAAATACATATTTACATCTTATCTATATATGAGTTAGAGACAGAGAAATTTTCATGAATGGGATTTTCCATGGAAATTGGATATGTATTTGTCTAAAAAAGTATTTTTCTAAATGGAACGTTTCCTATCGAAACAAAAATTCTATTTAAAATTGTTCGCAATTGATTGTCCAAAATTTAGTTTTTTTGTAACCAAGTCTTATAGCCAGGTTCTTTTTATTGTAGCACTTTATTATGGCTTAATGTCTAAACTACTTGGTTGTAGTATTTTTTCTTTTATTAATTTGTTGCGTGTTTACCATTAGTATTTTTCTCTTTTGCTGCATATACACATTTTATATAAGTATAGAATGAAATGGTTTTTTTGTTATTATGGTGTTGTGAATCATATTTTTCCATATGAGTGGTTGGCTGTGTTGTTACGCCGGTCGGACTGCCGACATTATGACTTTGCTTGGTTGGTATGTTTGTGAATAATGATGTCATACACAATCAACCGGCAAACATTCCGGCTAAATAAACTAAACCCAACCAAAAGCAGCAGAAGTGAATATTTGTGTCTTATGCCAACCACACTTTTTTTTTACAAAATGTCATGTCTAGTTTTAGTCTTTTGTTGGATAGTATTTTACAAATAGGGGAGGGTGGAGGGTTGGTTTAGGTCTGGATCACTTGCACAAATTCACCACCCAATTTTCAGTTATAAAATAATAATTAAAGACCCGCAGACTCAGTATACAACTAAGATTTTATTATTTGTCTATTATAATGCCGGTTTCTTCGGTTCACTTTATAACTAGATTTTGTGAAATTCTCCTTTGTCATAGCTGTTGTTTTTATTGCCGTTCATTCCCATCATAATAATTACCATGAGTCATGGTTTTGTGTTCATCATCATGGACAGTGATTTAGTTCAATATTTTTCTATTTTTAGTTAACTTATTTCATTATTGATCTTGAATTTTATCACAATGACATCAAAACTAAAAAGAGTTCCCCATAAATAGATTAAAGTGTATACTTTCCAAAAAAAAAAAAAAAACGGAAATGTGTTAGACCTCCCCTGACCTTTTTTCTATGGCCATTCTTTCTCTATGTGGTTGGTTGGCGTTTCAAACTAATTGTTCACAACTCCAAGTGTTAATGACATGGAGTTTTGTTTTGTCTATTTGTCTGTCAAAAAACAAATTATAAATAAACTATCCATGGCTTTGCATTGGCATTATAGTTTGTTGCTTTGTTTGACAATAATCGTGTTTTTTGGTTTATATTTTAACACCGCCTATTACATGTACCCTTTATTCTACGCAATGTCATTGTGTTGTCCCCTTTATTTTGTGTTTTTTACCACCTAGAATAAATTACACGTGTTCCAAATTGTCTTGTCATATAACTATGGCGATTTGTGAGCTAATAAAAAATAATTGTGAAAGTTTGAATTGTTGTTTTTTTTTTGGTGGTGTATGACACAGACTCGATATCCAGTAGTTAAAAAATTACGTAGTTATGTCAGAACTTTTACCACTAACAAATGATAGATCGATATTCTGCATTCTTTGCTTTGGGAAATTCTTTCAATGTAGTTTTTTGGAAAATATTCCCATTGAGGGTTCCTAGAGTAGTGCCAATGAAAATACAACCTAGAAATTTACGAAATGAACCTGTGATATCCAAAAATTTGAGATGGGCTGCAGATGACGCTGTTTGTAGAGATTCTGGTGGCATACTTTTGGGCGCCGAAGAATACATTCTCTTGAGGAAGCAGGGGGCACTTCAACCCTGCTACTACGTTTGTGGTCTTTTGATATGACCCAAATCGTATTTATCATCACGCTATTTCTTTCTGGTGGTATATAATTTCTAGAGTAGTGCCAATGAAAAAACAAACTAGAAATTTACGAAATGAGCCTGTGATATTGAGAAAATAAAAAAACGTCTACATATTCCAAACTGATGGTAGCTATAGAGACAAAACTTGCAAATTCTTTAATTTCTGGACGTATATATAACGTTTGATGGAACCTAATCCTTTCCGATACCTGGATAACAGTCTGCTATTGTGTTTTGCAAAAATTCCAAATTTAATTGTACAAATTAGGAAACCAAGCTAAAAGAAATCAATGCAGCCATGAATGCCTTCCTTACCGAAGTCAACATTTTTAAAAAGTTTGTAAATATCGTATGAAGCTAACGGAATATCCGATTTCATCCGTTGTATACATATAGTATTTTACCAAACTGAGATCAATGTCAAAGATGAGATCTATGGTTCCACTCCTTCTGCTATCTCCCCCTCACAAAGGGTCAACATGTTGTAAAATTGTAAATTTCAATAGATTTATACATCTCTCTGATATATAGGTCCATCATTTCTGTTACCTCCCCCACAAAATGTCATTGGCTGCAGGTATACATCTGCCGACAATACATACTGAGATTTTTTAATTGTTTATTACATACTTCGGCTCTGTGATTATACCCTTGTGTAGCCCCAAGAGTTTGTAACGCCGCGAATTTGACATGTGTATCGTTTTTTATAAACACGATACAGGCCACAGATATGGACCAATCGTGGCGAAATTTTACATGTAGCTAAAGAAGACCCCTATTGTTTTTGGTAATGGTCCGTTTATACTTAGGGGACAAAATGGACAAAAAACTTTACTTTTGGGCTGATTTTGTGGACGCTCTAGAGGTCACAATTATGACCGAACATCACGAAATTTTACAGGAAGAAGGGGATTCGGCTGAAGAATAATTATGACTGCTTTGATAAAGATCGGTCAATATTTAGCGGGTTAAATGGACGCAGACTTCTGTGTGAAAAAAGACAACAAATGGTTACCAATTATATTGTTGTATGTACTCGGATGTGACAGTTATACGTAAATATAGTCACATTTACGTATAACTTTTACGATATTGCTTGGTATTGCTATTACACCCCACTAGAGGACGGAAATGTCGCGCTGATCGCTTTGAAATTTCTTCCTCTGGTTATAGTGTGAGAAAGCTGAAGTCTGGATATTTCTCACACCATAGCCATATCCCCTGATTCTTCATCAGTTTCGAGTTTCTATTATTTGCATAGTTAGAAGAAAATACTTTAATTGTTGTAGCTGATAAATTCGACTTTTGGTCGGGTTTCATTGCACGCCCATTATTATGACCTTCAGAAGTGCAAA